CGCGCCACGCGTCTCCTTTAAGCCTCTTTTCTGCCGGCAGACGAGGGCCGCGCCTTAAAGGGGCCGTCGGAGTCCCGCCGCTGCCGCGCCTTAAAGGGGAGGAGAGCGCCTGGCTGGAATCGGGCATCTGGGCCCGCCCTCCAGGCCCCGCCTCCGGACGCCTTAAAGGCACGGAGTTCAGTGTCTGACCTGCGACCCACTGCCTCCGCGGGACCCGCACTTGATGCCCCGTCCAACATGGTTTTATGAAATCCTCATCGAGGATGTTTTTTCCAATGATTTCTAGAGAGAGTGGAAGGGAGGGAGGAGGGGGAGAGAGAAACATCCACGTGAGAGAGACATCCCCTACCGGGGCTGGGGAGCCTGCCACGGAGGTACACGCCTTGACCAGGAATCGAACCCGTGACCCTTCAGTCCCCAGGCTGGGGCTCTAACCACTGAGCAGACTTTCCAGGGCCCACCCAACTTTTATTGGTACAATCCCTGGGTTGTACCAGGCGGACCTGGGTGATTAGGACCGGATCTGAGCTTCGGTGTCCCTGGCTGCAACGCAGGTTTTATCATCCTGGGTCCCGGCCTCGCTGGGGTGCCCTCGAGGCTTATTGGGTATTAAGCGCGTGGACCCTGGTGTCCCCAGCCGCCCTGCATGGGCTGCTGTGTGAGCCTTCCTGTGTCCACTGTAAACCAGGGTTCTACTGGCCCCGCAGGGCTGGCATAGAGGAGCCACGTGATGCTTTCACGTGCTGAGCACGTGTCCCGGAGGCAGGATGGCTTTTCCATGGAAATGTTACCAGGAGACTGTTTTCCAATACTGGGCTGTATTTTCTAACTGATCGTGTTGGGGTCATTCTTAAAAATTAAATGTTACAAATGATGCTCAGGCCCTAGCTGGTTTGGCTCAGTGGATAGAGCGTCCGCCTGCAGACTAAAGGGTCCCAGGTTCGATTCCCGTCAAGGGCTGGGGGCTCGATCCCCAGTAGGGGGCGTGCAGGATTCCCTCTCATCATTGATGTTTCTATCTCTCCCCTCCTTCTTCCTATCTGTCAATAAAAATGTATTTTAAAAAAATAAAAGAGAGTAGACAATATTGAAAGAACATAATTTTTTTTTTAAAAAAGAATGATGCTCAGATGTATATTTATTAATGTGCATGGCAGAGGGTTAAGGTTGCTAGGTAAAATTCAGGGACGGGGTTGTGTGTCCTGGTTGGCATGCAAGATGGGAGCTTGTGGTGGGAGCCCCAAACCTCCCAGCACGTCTATGGAGTCAGGTGACACTCGCCCCTCCTTCTCTCCAGGCTCTTCCCCTTGTCCATGCCCTTCCTCTAATTACTTTTCTCTACTTTGCGCCTGTTTTCTGATTTATTTTTTTTACAGTAATTGTCTGCACAGGTTAAGTTTGGGGCTGAATCTTTTAGAAACGCAGCCCAGCCTTTTCTGGTTACTGGTTTGACTCTGAGTGGAGGAAAGGGGACTGGCAACAAAAGGTCTTTCATATTAAGCAAGAACAACAGGGTGACAAGTGTCTCCGGTTCTGACACACGGAGAAAAGACTGGAAGGATTTAGACCCCGGGGCACACAGCGGTTTTCTCCAAGTGGGCAGGGTGACAAATTCTTGTTGCTGCGATTTTCCCAGAATAACGTCGACATCCTGGGTAAAAAGCAGCCAGCTGGACGGGCGGGGCTGTGAAGCACAAATGCATCTCAGAAGATGGTGGTGGAGGGGGAAATCCGGAAACGAGAGGGAAATCTTATTCCTTTGGGGAAGGCTCAAATCTCCAGGACAGAATGGGAGGAAACCATCGCTGTGGGCTGGGCAGGCCCCCCTGAAAGCTGAAAGGAGAAGAACATTGGGGAAGTCCCTCAGGAACCGGCTCCGGAAGCAGCTGGAAGGCTTGTGATGTGGGGAAGCTGCCAAGCTCAAGTGCACAGATGACTTTTCTGGCAACAGAGGGAAGTCCGTCTAAGTTCTCTCAGCTGAGAAACTTGTTACCGAGTTAAATTTGGGAACCATGTAAGCAAACCCAAAAGGCCCACAGCAAGCTGAGAAAAAAATATCTGTAATCTAGATACAAAGTGTTAATACCATTAATATATACAGAGTTACCAAGGATGCATATGAAAAAGATAAAATCTCCTGGGGGTGGGGGGGAGTAAGGAAATCCATGAACAGACAATTCAATGTTAACCCACAAACATCTAAATGGCCAATAAACATTTTTAGATTCATTTTAGTCATCAGAGAAATTCAAAATTAAAAAATGAAATGCGTGTGCCCATCAAGTTGACTTTTTTTTTCTTTAATGAAAATTCCTAATATTTGGAAAGGATCTGGAGAACATGCACAAATTCTGCTGGTGGAGATGTGAGAAGGCGCGGCCCTTCAGAAGAGGAGTGAGGCGGAGGTGAGCTGGTTGTGAGAGCCTTGGCTTGGTTCGTCTGACCCGGAAGTCCCACTGGGAGACATTTCTCTGCTGGCGTGAAGATGGCTGCGGGCAGATCAGCTCCGGAACGTCCTCGGAGGCAGCAGCGGGCAGAGCGGCTGGACCTCAGTGCGGGAGCCTGGCTGCTTGGGGCAAGTCCCTCTCTGAGCCTCAGTTTCCTCATCTGTAAAATGGAACGTGTCACAAGGATGCCAAAGAATTGGACACATCAAATGCCTGGCACGTAATAAATGCTCAGTAAACGGGATATTCGCAATAACAATTTAATTTATAAGCACCTAGAACATAAGTGAGCCAAGGAGAGGAACAGGGCTCCACAGAAGAGCTAAAAACGGTTCTGAAACACATGAAAAGATGTTTATTTTCCTCTCCAAGAAGATGTGTTCATTCAAATGAAGCCAAAACCCCATTTTCCACCCAGAAGGTATGAGAAATTTCAAGTCAGCTGACAGCCTGTGCAGCCTGTGGGGTAAGGGGCCACCTGCACACAGGTGAGGGGCAACAACCAGATGGGACTACACTGATGGAGAGAGCTCAGAAGACCACCACTGGAATGGCAAGCACCCGTGCTCTAAACCAGTGGTCGGCAAACTGTGGCTCGCGAGCCACATGCGACTCTTTGGCCCCTTGAGTGTGGCTCTTCCACAAAATACCGACTTCTGCACATGGGCCATGAAGTTTCAATTGCACTGTACATCGCGCCCGCACATGGTATTTTGTGGAAGAGCCACACTCAAGGGGCCAAAGAGCCGCATGTGGCTCACGAGCCTCAGTTTGCCGACCACTGCTCTAAACCATGAGGTTTCACATCCAGGGGTTTACCCACAAACATCTGCACTTGCCTGGAAAGTACACAGGAGGCCATCCCCTGTGGTGGCACCTGTTAGAGGGAACGACTAGAAGCAAAACCCATCATCACTTAGATTCTGCTTAAATAGATTAAGGAGCTCCCCTACAAACTCTCAGTGCCAATTGCAAATCACAAAGCATTCTGACACCCTGAAGTCTTGGTAAGAAGTCTTTGTTTAATCTTCTGTTCATCCCAATGTGTGTGAATATGCATCAGTTTATCTGTGGCGACTGGCTAAGGCAGTGGTTCCCAAACCTCTGGCCCTTTAAATATAGTTCCTCATGTTGTGACCCAACCATAAAATTATTTTCGTTGCTACTTCATAACTGTAATGTTGCTACTGTTATGAATTGTAATGTAAATATCTGATATGCAGGATGGTCTTAGGCGACCCCTGTGAAAGGGTCGTTCGACCGCTAAAGGGGTCGCGATCCACAGGTTGAGAACCGCTGGGCTAAGGGATACTGCCCTAGATCCGTGTTAGTTAGCTATAGCTGCATAACAAATGGCCCCTAAAGTTAGCAGCTGAAAACAACACACATTTATTATCTCAGAGTTCCCATGGGTGAAGAACATGGATGCAGTTTAGCCAGGTGGGTTCCCAAAGCTCTCGTAACAGCAGTTCCCAAGGGAGCTGTAAGCCACTCTCGAATCCCTGCTCCCATCTTGCAGGGCCCTTGCTCAGGGTGAGCCCAAGGCTCCCACCACCACAACCTCGCCTTTCAGTGTTGGGAACTAGCAGCTGCTGGGAGAGGCCCCACCGAGTTTTGGCCGGATGAGATGGGACACAAATTCATGGCAGAGCCTGGGCTAAGAGGGTCCCTCCGTGGCTCCAACACACTCCGTGTCTCCCCACTGCTCTTGTTCCCCATGAGCTTGGCCAGACCAGCCACATCAGGAGACAGGTGGATGCTGTTCCATCCAGGAACCTACACTTTCAACAATCCCATACACCCTGTAATGCCCCTCCCTCCCGCCCCCATCGATTCACTGGCCTGGCCCAAGAACCTGTGAGGTCCTCACCTGCTCCCGCCTGGTCCCACGGGTCCTCCGAGCAGCTGTCCAGAGTACAGGATGCGTCGCTGGCACCGAGGGCCTTTTTCAGCTCTGAAACAACAGATAACTCCCTGGACCCACCTGGAGAAGCCCGGGCATCAAAGGGCTTCCATCATTCCCCCAAAGAAGCCACAAAAGGGCAAAGGATGGAGGAAAGGCCTCAACCAAGAACTTTAAACAAATGGCTTATTTGAGCCTCTCTCCCTGCCTGTGCCCTAGGCAGACATTGCTAGCTGATCCCCGACATCTTCACTGAGCCAGATGCTAACAGCTCCAGCTCAAAACACTGCATTCCAAGCAGATGTCACAAATCCATTAAGGATCAAACCCCCTAAGGACATGGAAAACCTCTGGGAATGGAGGTGTTACCTGTTTTGGGATCCACCCCCCCAATCAGAGAATAGCCTTTTTTCATCTAAAGTGTCCCCTAGTGAAGAACTCGGGGTTTTTTTGTTCAGCTATCCATAGATGGAGCCCACATCCTCACCCTTACTTCCTGCTCCCAAAACTCTGCTGTCGCCTATCAAGCTGCTCTGCGTCCCTTCTTCCTCTTTATGTCCATCAAATACCGGCTCTCAGGGATGCCTCCCTTTCCCTACACTCCGTTCGCAGGTGGCGGGCTCTCCTGTGTACTCGGCGACACCCAGGCCAGCAATTCTGGCACCTCTGCTCCTGCCTCATCCTCATCACTGGGTTCCGTCCTCTTGGCAGCTGCCCCTGCTTGGGCCCATCATTTATTCCCAGGGCCGAGCCCTCGGCCTCCTCCCTCATTTTCAGCCTGGCCACTGTCATCCTCTGCTCACACCCCCTCCATGACTCCCAGTTGCCTGTCATTCAGGCCCCTGCATGTCTGCCTCGGCAGCCTCCAGCCTCCTCTCCTTCTGTTGTCTTTCCCTCCCTCGGTGAGGGCCGCGTGGATGCCCTGAGTCGCCATTACGTGCTGCTCAGCCCCAAGTTACTGCACGCGTCTCAGCAGCACAGACATTGGGTCCTGAGTGAACAGACCGGGCAGGAGGGAGAAGAGACAGTTCTGGAGCCTTTTCCCAGGGCAGGAGATCCTGGGAGGTCGAGCCCACGTCCAAGAACTCCTGGGGGCTCAGTGCCAGCAGCAAAACACAGGCGGTGATTGTTGAATGACTAAATGTGAATGTCTACCTGCAGTTTTTTTTAATTTTGCCTCCTTCCCCTCATCCTGAGAAGTCCTACACACTCCTGAGAGCCTCGTTCCAATGCCCTCACCCAGGGAGCTGCTATCACTGCCCGTCCAGGCTTGTCCACCTCTGTCCCGGGCTGGACCCGCAGTCACAAGGCTAGTGTTCACAGGAAGTGAGGCCACTGGGCTCAGGGGTCACCAGGCTCCCCCGAGCCACACGGGGGGAGGCTCACCTCCATCGATCCTCTGCCGCAGGACCCCCCGGATGACATCCTCATAGATGCCCTCGACGGTCAGGGCAGGGCTGCCCACAGCAAGAATGTCCCCTTCCAACTCAAGCAGCTCCTGGAATGGAGGTGGGGAGGGGCTGGGCTGGAGGGGTGGGCACTTTGCAGGTGCCAGCTCCCACTACGACCCTGGTCTAGGTACCTGGGTGGCCTTGAACCTCATTTTCCTCGTCTTTAAAATGGACACCGTGACCTGTACTCCCTTGGGTTGCCATGGGAGATAAAACAAGCACCTCCCATCTCAACAGGAATAGCACAGATGTCTCCTCTAGGACCCCCCACAGCCACTTCCTCTAGGGGAGCCGGTTGGCACCTGAAACCAACCCCTGCCTGGTGGCCCGTAAGCCCTGTGTGGCCAGGCCCCTGTGACCTCTCCCCTCATCTCTTTCCCACCGCCTCACGGTTCCCTAACACGCTAGCCCAGGCCTACCTCAGGGCTTTTGCACATGCTGTGCCCTCTGCCTGGAATGCCCTTCCTGGGACATGGCTCATGCCTTCAGCTCACTCTCCCTCCAGTGTCATCTTCTCAGAGAGAGCCTCCATGCCCATAGCCCCCCACACACCCCCTCTGCTCCTCCCTTCTCTGAAACCTGTGTCACCTGCTAGTATGTGATGCATGTGCCCTCACCCCAGCTCTCAAGTGACCGATATTGAGCACTGTCATGGGAGAAGCAGAGGGCATTTGTGGGAGCCCCATGGAGCCCCAGAGCTCAGGGAACAAAAGTCTCTAATTGTCACAGTGGCTCTGTGCGGGAGCGAGCACTTCGTAGAGAGATACAGATGCTTGGTCACGCCCCTCCCCTGCCTGCATGTCCCCCATTCGCTCACCGCTTTGCAGCGCGGCTCCAGCTGGCTCAGCACAAAGGGCAAAAAGATGCAGAGCTGCCACCCGCGGACGAACCTCCTCCGCGCTGAGCCACTGTCCGACTGGAACTTCTGCACGACACACACAGTGGCCAGTCCAGTGGCCATCGGGGCACCCAGGCCCACGTCCAGGCCCTCCCCCCAGACCTCACCTTCAGCACGCGCCCCCTGACTTTCTCCAGCTGCTGGGCAGCCTGGTGGCAGTCCAGGGCCCTGGTCAGACACTGGTCGGCCAGCTGCAGGAAGGTGGCCACGGCGTCGGCCATGAGCTGTGGAGGGAGGAACTGGGATGACTCCCGGGTAATCCACTCTCTGGCCTTATCAGCCTCGTTCCTGCCCAACTGACACCTCAGCATCCAACCCGTCCCTGCCAGCCACTTCCCTCAACCTCCTCCTGCCCGGCCGGTGTCGCTCAGTGGGTCAGCGTCGACCTATGAACCAGGAGGTCACAGTTCAACTCCCAATCAGGGCACATGCCTGGGCGCCATCCCCAATAGGGGGCGTGCAGGAGGCATCCGGTCAATGATTCTCTCATCATCGATGTTTCTATCTCTCTCTCCCTCTCCCTTCCTCTCTCTCTAAAGTCAAGAAAAACATATTTTTTTTAAAAAAAAATAGCACCTCCTCTCAGGAGCCAGAGATCACCCAGTCGGTGGGGGCCTATGTGCCAACTGGGAGAAAGCAGCCTGCCCACTGGAGCGGTGCCGGGGTGCTCAGCCTGGGGAGCAGAGAGCGGGCTGGATCCCGCCTCATCGGCTGAGTGCTCCTGAGCAGTATGCAAATTGAACAACTGTGCGGGGCGCCACTGGGTCTTCTCAATCCCTGTCTCCTTCATGTACCATGTCTATTAGCAGGTCCGTCCCCTTGGCCTTCAAAACACACCTGCTTCTCTTCACCAATAGCACCCAACTAGTGGAGGCCTCCGCCCCTCCTGCCCACCCCCCCAC